CCTGTCCGTAGACCAAGGAATGTATGGGCTTCTAATAAGGCCCTTCAGAAACTGGATTGCCTTCACTCGTTTCAAGAATTCCGGTGCTCACAGACAGCGCCATGCTAGAGAGGAATCGTAATTAAAATGAACGAGCACCTGAAACCCAGTAAAGCATCTGAGAGCTTGGATTTTTCATGAGGCAGCAGTAGAGGGTGACGGATAGCAGGGTTAGGGGCGGGCTTAGCAATGGATTTACGTTCACCTCCCCCTTGTGGGTCTATAGGGAATATGGGAGGGGGAATAGTACTAGAATATTTGAGTCACGTCTATAGAAAGAAGAAATCGAAGAATCTTGATATAAATCATCGTAGCACAATTACAGAAGAAGCTAGGATTTGTGAGAACGTTTTTGCTTTTATTGTTGAAGGAAATATTACTGTATCTATTCGATTCTACAGGCGAGAAAATCTTTCAGAACTACAATGCTGTTTGAAACAATCATTTCTTTTCCCTAGTAAATCGAACAAACAGTAATGAGGAATAAGGGTTTATTCTTCTTGTTCGAGAAAGTAAGGTTTCTCACAATTCATTCTGCATCCTAACCATTTTTTTTCCCCAAAAAACATTAGAAAATAAGGTTGAAAGTGGAACACTAATTGGACTACCGTACTTAAGGGAAATAATCTTATTTTATTACGTAATAAAAGAAAGATTCTTCAGAAAAATTATAACAATTCTGAATTGCGCGAAAAGATAGAGCATTAGTGCACAATCAACCAATGTTTCCTGAAGGAATATATTAAATCGTATATTCTCCATCTTTTTAAAAATCAAGTTTTTCAGAAACACATAAAATATACATTATAAATACAACTCCAAAACTTTAAATACAGCTAAAATAGATAATTCTTATCATAATCATTAAACAAGCTTAATTAGCTTTTAAATGATTGATAGCAAAAAGAAATTTACAATTTATAACATATTTTATAAGTGATACTTAGACATGTCAGTTTATAATGTACTTTATAAGTGATACTTAGATATTTCAGTTTAAATTTGATACTTAATGTTAAGTTTTAATCTTAATAAAAGTAGTAACTTTTACCTCAATCATCCTACCAAAAGTATAAATATTTAAGAATTTTATGCAAGCAGTTACTGTTTTAAAGCTTTTTCAAAACTTAAGCAATAATGTCGAAATTAAAATTTATTCTGAAAATAGCGAAATAAATGCAGTTCTCTTTAGCTGCAATAACTAATTATTTTACTTGAAAGGATCAACTATATTTTTAATTATCTTTGTCTCATTAAAATTTCGGTTTTAAAAAGTAAGAGATTAAACGAGTTATCTCAGCGTATAATAGTAGTTTTTAAAACTAAACGTTTTATAACAATGAGTAAGGAAAACAAAATATTTCACTTTTTTCCTCATGGTCGTTAAATTTGAGTTTTTTTACACATTAACAAGTTAGAATATTGTTAAAGAATATTGAGAACTACGTTTTTGAAATAAAAGGTTTATTAAAATTGAAAGTTTCAGTTTCTGGTGAAAATTTGAATTCAGAATTAGTCTCCTCAAAATACTTTACCTCCTTAAAGGTTGAGTATTTTATTGAAATTATTTTCATTAGTTTCTTGGAATTTTTTGAAGAAATCATAATTTAATCATGTTGTTCAGAATTTCAGGCTTTCTACAGAAATGCTGAATGTAAGCAAATGCATTGCAGCCAATTGTTTAACTTAAAGCTTTTCGAGTTTTGAAAAAGACACGAGGATGAATACTGCAGTTAATTACTTGTCATTTACATTGAAGAAAATACGATAAAATCATTATATTGAATTGATAGGAATTCCTTGCTAGACTTATAGAAAAAATTACAAAAAATCTAACAGAGAGAGATGACACCCTGTTTTTCAAGTCATTCTGACCTTTAAAAAAAGTACATCTATTATAAAGTAATCATATTATTTTATATGTGAAATCGAAAATTTAAGTTCTTAGTTCTTGTAACAAAATATAACACTCTATTGTAATTGAAAAAACAATAGCAAATATATTGGAATAAAGTGTTTTGCGAACAAACTATGTCTACCCACAGAAGTTCTTTGAAATCTGAGAGCTGTATTCATCTAAAATTCAATTTTGATTTACCACCATGAGTGAGCCCTCCCGCAACCCTCATCCCATGACTCCTCAGGACCAACTCTCTTGGCTTCCTATCTAATCTCCTTCACCCAATTGAGTTTTAGCCTAGGCTCCTCAACTTCCATTCGGAAAAAGCGACCGAGCGGATAAAACGGTAAACTCAATTGGATGGATTCGGACTTAGTGCTTTTTTATAAGGCTTTAAGCTGGGCCTGTTCTCCACGGGAAATACCACCTAATGCTGCCTTAGCTATGAGGGAAGAATATCACGACAGATTTAGAACTGTAGCAAAGTTTCTATTTTCCGGCTTTTTGAATTAGATTTGGACAGCAAACTGAAATTTTGATCCCTTATTTAGTTTTTATTGTCATGAAACGGGGGTTGTTTTAATGTACTCGTTTAAGAGCTGCACGTTATTTATGTCTATTGTTTGTAGGTAGAAATCAAAATGCGGCTCTATTTATAATACTCTATTTCCAAGTGAATAATTTTGGCGAGCAAATTATTAGAAAAAGGTCTTTCATAAAATTTTCTTTATAGAATTTTTTTTTTTTTTTTTTTTTTTTTTTTGTTAAGTTAAGGAATATATTTTAACTTGATTATAAATATTTTTAAACTTAGAGCGACTGAGCCAAAAATTATATTCTTAGATTTTGAAATTAATTTTCTTTTCATAATTCCCTGTCATTAAAACAAAGTGTTTGGTATGTTTCACCACGTATTTAAAAGTGGTTTAAAATGCGCGCGTCATTTTGCTTTATTTTTACTTGCAAGATTCCAGTTCCTCTCCCCACGTTCAAGTTTAATTTCTTAAATAATTTATTGGACAGCAAAATTCCTTTTTGAAGTAATTTATAAAGAAAGTAATGCTTCTATTGATTCATATTGAAGCGGATTAAATCCAGAAATTTAAAGGAATGGTGCAGATTGTGCATTAATTCCCCAGATAAATTATTTTTACATTTAGTAATTTATTTTCTCGTTAAAAGGGTAATCATTTAAAAAAGAGGATACCGAGTAAAAATTGCCATCATAAAGTAAAGAAGTTCGATATGTAAGAAAATTTCATTTCGTAACCATTCTTAGTTGCTGCTTGCTATTAATAAGAAGAAAAACTTCATCAGCTTCTGCATTAGGATCTAGTGAAAATCTAATTAGGTGAAAAGTGGAAATTATTATTGAAATATATGGTATGAGTGACAGCTAGGTAATTAATTTTTGTATTTGTATTACTTAAAGTTTTACTGCCTTAGATAATTTTAAAGTAGGATTACAGATGAATATTAAACATTAAAAAAATCAGTATTCGATTCATGATAAATGATTGTTCCGCAGGCATGATGAACTAAATTTTATGCTACGTGAAGTTATATGTAGTGTTGTAACAATTAAACTACATAGGATTTTTTTTAATATGTACTTGATTCGTCAGATAGAAATATAGAAATTTTAAAAAAATGTGTTAAAGACTAATAACTACGGATAACCTTTGTTGTATAATTATTAATATATATTATTTATAAAAAAGATATCAGTAAGGGTTTTTTTTTTAACGTTAGTTACTAAGAAAAAGTCGATTTTAATTATTTCAATCCGGTTTTGTATGTTTTCGATCTCACAGACGGTGTTAATCTTTTCCATCTAAGCTACATTTTGATTGAATGCATTTGGCACATTCATATTTTAGGAGAAAATTATGCTTACTTGACACCATTAATGGCTCCAGAGGCGAGAAAATTTTACACGCTTTTATTAACAACACAAACAGCTAATCCGTCACGTTGTTATGACAACAGAGGCGACATATTTGGACTTGAATACAAATTTGGTCCCCGAACACAGCGGACATAGCTTGTGTGATAAATAGGGCCTTCCTCGCAACAGCTTTGACCAGTGAGGAGGGACGAGAAAAATGATTAATATCCAACATGAAAGCGTAGCGACTGTCGCGTTAATTAAACATGCATCCTGATTAAACGATATGCGTGTCCTGCACACCAATATCGCAACGGTTTTAATTTCATAAACATTGTGCAGCTCAGTAGATACCGTGCCACACAACTCGAGAGGCTTTATCAGCATAATGCAAGCTCCTGGAGTTTTCCAATTACAGCATAAGGCACCGCTCGCCAGAAAAGTGGTGTAAACTAGTAAATTTTCGCCCATAAGAAGGTCTATCATACCAAAAGTAAACTTGCATGGATAATAAACATTTACTACGCCTCTGAAAGTTGACTTTCTCTTCCCATCTGTCACTTTAATATATTAAGATGCGCGCTGCAAACTGCTTTGTTTCGTACGGCATTCACAAATCTGAAAATATTCAACTCGAAGCTCATTGCTTATCATAAATAAATCCTTGCCTCTGCGGACCAACCATATAGCTATGAAAACATGCTTTAAGATTTTTTTAAAGTTTTTGCTTTAAAACTAAAAGCAATTCAAATAATAAAGAAAAAAACTGTACTGTAATTATTTATCAGTTTTTCATTTATAAAAAACTCTTCCCTACGGAAGAATATGCAAGCTAATTAAATTTCTGCATATAATACTTGTACAATATGCACTACATATATTCCGTTTAACAATTAGTTCATATTTTAAATTGATATGTTCTGATTAGCTAAATATTAATTTTCATCTTGCGGAATGTAGTTGCAATTAAACTTCTTTCTAAATCAATAAATGTATAATGGACGAAAGACTACATTAAAATGAAGAAAAATATCTGGATATAACATATGTCACATTCAGTTATGGAATCAGAAACTATCTTTCAATCTCGGGGATGATATTGTTACACTAACATCGCTAGAAATTGATGCAGTTTGGGAAAAGGATACAAAAGAAACAAAAGCTCTCCAGTACCTTTACATATCCAAGATGGCCAAGGAATTAATCTGAGATAGAAGAAGATGTACGCATCGTAGTATAGACGTTGACATCAGGAAATCGGAGAATGAAGCAGAAAAATTAAATTACTGCCATTTTAAGAAACCTCTTTTCCATTAATAAACGAACCGGATACTCTGAAAAGAATAAATATTCCTAGTTAAACAATGCATAATAAAAAATATTTACCTAATTTTAAAATAAAAATAATATTTAAATAATTAATAGGCCTTAGCGAGTTTGATCTCGCTGGTTTTCTGAGTTTTTTAATTGCTGTAGAGGACAGCGATTTTCTACCTTGAAACATTTTTCCCTTTTACCCATTATATAATTTTTCCCTTGGTTCTTAACGGACAACAGTTTTCTGACTCAAATTTTTTCTAAATGATACTTCTTCGCCATAAAAATTTGTTTCTGTAGATAAACACTAAAATCAAGCATTGTGTTTCAGAAGTTCGAGAGGTTAAGTTAGGTTAGGTTATTTGAATACAATCAAACATACGCTATCTGTCTTTAAAGGGGAGGGAAGCCTTCGTGGAGGATTTTATATGTTAAACTGGCTCGTATTCCCGTCACGCATTGGAAAACCAACCATGACCTTATCCAATTCGTAGCCGTAGGATTGAAGAGCCAATCATTCAGCGTTCTTAACCACACATTCATTGGTGAGGCGCGCAGGGAAATATACTCTGGGTGAAGATACAGTGTGAAGGCACTTATTCCTAATGACCTTTTCGGCTTATCAAAATTTTTACCGTATTAGAAAATCCACTCTTTTGATGATAAATATTTTCTCTTTGAATGGAGGTAAAGGCGTTTATGCCTATGAACTCCGTAACATGAACATCCTTGATCCTTGATCCTCTGGGGAAAAGCGCTTGCTACGCTTTTCTAATACATCATGCTAGTATTTGTATATTAGGAACAGAATAATCTATTTGAATTGGTAATGATATGTTTAGGCTTATCTTTTCCTCATTGCTTGAAAAAAGATAAATGATACTGATGGTTACTTCATAAAATATAATTATTTTAATGCATATATAGCTAACTCTAGAAGCTAATGCATTCTTAAGAAATTTTTTTCTCTCTTGTAGATTCGGAATACTTCAACAGACAACATTTGTGATGTAAACTATTTTATTTGAATGAATTCAGCACTTAAAATGTAAAACGTCTAAAAATAAAGTGGCAGACAAACATTATCATAAATTTTCATAATGAAGTAAAGTAACTGTAACTTTTTATAATTTATTAACATAATATTCTTGGAAGCTTTTTTTTCTTTTCTGCTAATAAGAAGTCTGTACTTGATTTAGATTTGTCTGCAGTCTTCCTAGTTGTATGGTTAATGCTTCTTATTTTAATCTACTGATAAATTAACATAAATTATGTGTATATTCTGTCCTCGTATTTTTCAGGAAATCATACAGGAGATTGAAGGAATTACCATCCGGAGCTGCTACAAAAACTTATCAGTTTACTACAGCACTTTTGAAAGCAACAAAACATATCTGTATGGATTTACTGGGTATATAAATGCTTTATCATTTCAGAGCTTCTGAACTGTCTTTGTAAACAAGCATAAAATGTTCCCAAGCATCTCAAGAAAGCTATAAAGAAATGCAAGTTAAAAGCTGCCTTTTAAAACGCAAATACTGATAGTACTTTTATTTCAGTAGTTCTCAATAAATCTATATACAACAAACAAAATTTTCCAAGCTATCAAAATGTAATGAACGTGGAAACTGTCGTTTAGTAATAACATAGGCAGGTACAATATGGATATGTTTTCCTAAATTGTGCAAAAAAATATATATATTTTATATAGCTTTGCCTTTTTATTTATTTAATTTTTGTCTGTATGTAGATATGTGTGTGTGAGAGAGAAAGAGTATACATTAGGTGGGAAAGTTTCATGTGATCATTTTCTTTGTGTTGTGATTTAAGCACCTAGGCACAGTATTATGAATAATAATCGATATGAATGTTGTCTATTATTTCTCCAAAGTTCTTTTAATTATATATCATTTTACGATTTTTTTATGTAGTTTATTAAAGTTTCCTATGTTTAATGCGTTTCGTAATTATTCTCCTCTTCTAATTTGTTGCAGGAATGGCATAGCGCAAAGTTCATTTTTATGTTACATGTGTTTTTATTCTGAATAATTCGATTTTAATTTCTCATTTTTTTTTAGATTTATTTTTTCCTTCTTTCTTTCTCTCTCTCCCCCTCCCCCCTTTTTTTAACTTTGAAATTTTACATAGTAACATTTATACGTTAAATTAAGAGCCACTGCAGAGTCAGTACAAAAACACCCTTATTGTCATTACTTATTATCAATCAAGCTCAAGAATTTTGTTATTAACCATGCAGACAAATAAATAATACACTAAACTACATAGTAACTGAGGGCTTACGTTTTACGGTAGCGCATGCAACATGTCATACATATAACATGGCTAAGATAAAACAGTTCTGATAAAAAGTACGCAAACTTCAATAAAAATTAAAGTGAGATTTTGTTATATGTACTAAAAAACATTCCTTTACTAACAGAACATCCTTTCCAGGGTTTGTTTTTAAAATTCATTTCTTAGTTATATCAGGTGTTCATCAGATTAGTTATGAACACAATGAGATTAATTATAAAATTTTTAAACGCGAAATTATTTAATTTGTATCTTACATTAAATGCAATTTTACATATTACAACGCTTTTAATAATTCTTTAACTATAATACGACAGACAAATAAGTGGTAAATGAAATATAGCAAGAGGCAGGACCAAATAAGGAGCTAAAACTGTCGCTGATATTACACGTCTGACATGTATAGCGAAATCTGAATCATCATCACGAAGAATTTTAATTAAATCAAATTTGATTCTGCATTCTGAAATTCCAGCTGTGTAGCTGGTCTAGAGATAATTCCGAGAGTGGGGAATGTGTTAACGTTTAAGTTACAAAACCACGCTTTGACAATATATATTTAGTGATGCGGCTTGAAACGCACTATTCGAAAATAACCATGTTTCATTTCGAAAGCAATCTCACGTAAAATATTTATGTAGTTACATATAATGTATGAGTAAGGTTAGCCGACACATATAAAATCCGTAATACAAATGCAGAACTTACAGATCGCATCATGAAATTGCTCGCTGATAACAGTTATTGGAGTTGCTTTTCTAATCTTCAAGATGGTTCATAACCTCAAGGGCGACAAGTACAGATAAATTCATTTATCAACGCCAATCTTGTCCGTTTTTACATTAATCATGGAACATTTTCTATAATTTTATACAGAAATCGGGTTCTACTTATTAAAAAAAACAGTCAAGGTCGAGGGAGAAAGCATTTTTCTTTTTAGAATGCTAAAATGATTGATAGAGAAAATCAGTTGGGGAGGACCAAAAGGAACTGCTCTTTCATTTCTTAGTGCGACTGGTGAGGCGGAGAAATACTGTTCTGTGATTGGCTGTGAATTTGTTCGAGGCAAACATGATGCTTGGTTGTTTACAATGGCTGCCATATCGAATATCTAATGATTTCTTTACCGTTCAAAGAAGCCTGGCTCTAAAGGCGCAGCCGTGTTGTTTTATGGCCTAATAAAACTACCATTTACCCGCCAGAAACTTGATAAACGCAAGGTCAGGGTCAACAGTTCACTCAAGAGCTTTACAGACATAGTCAGCTGAGTTTATTGCTCTCCTTAAACGGAGAAGGAAGTGCTTCTCCCCACCCTTTGCCTATTTATTTTAGCAGAAAAAGCCTGCTCATGCACCGTTAGAAGCGGTTATATAAATCATCGTGTGGCTTTATTTGCCTTTAATTGAGAGAGATAATTGGGGCTTTAATGTAGAGGGAAGGATCAAGTTATTTAGAAGTTGTTAACGTAGATGTTCTTTTTCGCAGGTTACGCATGATCTACGGCGCGATTTTATATCAAGGTGGTCTCGAATATGTGGTAGTATGGCTTTCGTTTAATAGAAAATAGAAGATGTAGAATAAATTTAAAATTTTATTTCCATAAACGACATTTATTATACTAATTGCCTCTTTAAAAGCATAGCATTCTTTTACCATTTTTCTTGCATTTTGGAAAGGCCATTGTTTTAAAAACAAACGGGAGCTCGATTTTCATGAAATAATAAATACATAAATTAGTTCTATTAATAAATACATAAATTAGTTCGGTTACATTTTAGCAAAATTAGTTCGGTTGCTTATCAAAATTCATACATTTTGATAAGTATGATTTCACAGCTTAGTGACTAAGCAAGGCCTGAGTGTCACTCAGCAATGACAGTTGGATATTTATTCATTTCCAGATCTCGGAATGCGTCGGCTGCAAGAAATTTGCTCAGCTTTTCATGTGTAATGGAAATGCGAGATAGCTTCCATTATAAAATGCCCCACGAAAGTATACCTTCAGTAATGAAGTGAATTTTATTTTGAAAATCATTACTAAATGCAAACGAAAGCAGTACAAAAACCAATTGCACAATGTGGAAGAATTTAATTTTCCCCCCTTCCCAATCGTCTCAATTTTTTGTGGGGAGGGGAACAGTGCTCATGCATATTTTAAAATTCCAATCAATATCTCTTGCCTATCACACAGTAACAATACGCAGTTTCCTTCATTTATGTTTTCCGTTATTATTAGTATTCAAATGAAATTTGTACTCTTTGCTGTAGATAAACATCAAACAAAAAAAAGACAGGAAATAGTTCCTTATTGCAGCCTGTTGAACAACATTCAAAGAAACTAGGTTTTTGCGAGATATGGTTAATCACAAAATAAGATTCTGAACCTAATATATTAACCTACGTTTAGATATAAACTTGCTGTTTTCAATGCTACTACACGACTAAAATAAAAAATTGCCTCATGTCGTGAGTAGCAATGTAGACGTAAATAAAATCTCCTTTCCTCCTCAACTGAACGTTTTCGTGTTCTAGTATAATTTCAGTGCACGCAGCCTCAATATAACAAAGAGCCTTAGATACAATTTTCGCATTTTCTCATGTACCATGTTAACACTAAAACTCAAAACTTAAGATCCGAGGTGGAATGTATTTCTCTCAATTATAAAAGCACATACATGCATACGAATAGGGTCTGTACGCCCAC